ATTGTGTGCACGCATGCTCACATGCCAGCACTCAGGAGGCAATGAGCCCCACCCACTGCAGATTCACACACAAGCCCCCCACACCCTTACCTGTACTGCGCATGCAGTGCCTCCCAGCTGATTTTCGGCCCGTTTGAGGCCTTTTTCAGCCTCCCTGAGGCTTGAGGGAAGCCTCTGCAGCCTCGGGAGGCCGAAAAACAGGCTTTCCAGAAATACCAGAAGTACCCATTTTCAGGCTCCAGAGAGCCTCTGGAGCATGGGGGAGGCCGTTTTCGCCCTCCCAGGGGCTCCAGGGAAGCCTCTGCAGCATTTGGAGGCCAAAAAATGGGCCCATTTCAGCACTTCCGGTTTCGGCACTTCCAGTATTTCCGAAAAATCAGGCCAAAAATCAGCTGGGAGGCGTGCGCATGCACAGTGCAGGTAAGTTTGGCTGGGGCTCACGTGCCCATACAAATGGCTCTACATGCCACCTGTGGCACGCATGCCATAGGATCGCCATCACAGTTCTAGGCCAGGTTGTTCTTGGACCCATAACAGAGGAATACTTTCAGGTTTGTGTCCTTCTAAATATTTGTAAGAATGTTGTAATTTTATAAATTACAGCTTTTGTGTCCTTCTACTACACAGAAGACAATACTGTTGCTTCTTGATCACCTGGACTGTTTAATCCTACTAAACTCTGATGGCAATATATGAGAATCAAAGTCCAATCAAAGCTAAAAACATCGACTTGGGGAGACCGTGATTTGCAATTAAATGCCCATTGGATATTTGCTTAACAACCATGTGTTCATTTAACAACCACTTGATTTATTTAATAACTTCATTAGGCTTCATTGTGTTGTTAAGTCGAGGATTATCTACATTCCTGAAAACAAGAACAAAATGTCCCTTGGAAGCAACCTAGCTCAGCCATTAAAAATTAATGGATGTCAATAAAGTATAGACATTTTGTTAATAGAAAATGTCTCACCTTATTCTTTGAGTATGGAATTGTCCTGAAAAATGTACCTTTTTGTTTTCCATTATTTTATATTTAATTTTAGAGAAATCGTTTTGAGAATCATCTAGATATTGCATCAAAATAAAGAAATAACTGGCCTAAAATCTTGTGTTTGCATCCAAATTTTCAACCAGCAGTATAGGTAGCCTGAGGCTGAAATCCTGAACTCTTATTTAGAGCTGAAAAATGTTCAACAGTTAATTGGCAAAGGAAACTGGGGGGGAGGGGGGGAGAGGAGGAATCTTCAATTTACCCAAAATGAATTTTGTGATGGGTCTGGCAAGGAGAACTGTCAAAGTACTGATCTCTTATATATCCTTATCTCTTCCAATTTAACACACTGATTTGTATGCCCATCCTGTCATTCATGAGAATAACAGATAGAAGTGGCAAAATTATAGTGGCAGCAGTCAAAGAAGAAACCATAAGAAAATTCAAAAGTTCTGCTGTGGAATTAAATTTGATACGTAGGGATTTGAATTTATAACTTGTGCAAGCTTATAAGTCAAATCATCCATACCACTTTACTAAATCTTTCGGAGGAAAAGACTAAATGTAATAATCATAATCTTTATTATGGTCACTAACCACTGAACTAAACCACTGACTTCATAAAAAGAATAAAAGAACAAAGGAACAAAACACAGAGAACCATGATATAGAAAAGAAAGCATAAATGTTATCTGGGGGAATAATAAAAATGCTTTCAAGTCTCAAACATTTCTAAGGAATCAACAGGAGCATTTACCATAGTATAATAAGTACAGATAGTAGGCTATTAAAAGTAAAAGTTTATAAAAATAAAAGAACCAAATCAATTAATAAAAATATTTTAAGAGTAAGATACTAAAATGCTACCTAAGAAATGAAGCTCCCCATCCAATCTGATTTCTCTACTCGGTAGCAAACTTGGTCTGAAAATTGAGAAAATTCTTTCCTTCGGGTGGGTTAAAATTATATATTTATCCTACCTAGTCATTCCAGGAGAAAAACATCCATTGTAGGACTTATAATTATCTTCCTTTTTGAAAGCATAAGAATTATGGTACATAGATTCCTATGGAGTCCTTGTAGCTCATTGAGTTTGGTTGTTTGCTTGCAGATGCTTGGTTATCTAGGCAGGTAACATCACAAAGACTCTGCAGTTCAACCCTGAGCTACCTGTAGATAGTCCTTGACTTCCTGCAGGCAATCTTCAACCATTCTTTTACTGACCACTCGAAGTTACAACAGCACTGAAGAAAGTGATTTATGGCTATTTTTCACATTTATGACCGTTGCAGCTTCTCCATAGTTACATCATCAAAAGTTGGACACTTAACAACTGGCATGTGTTTATGATGGTTGCAGAGTCTTGAGGTCATGTGATTGCCTTTTGCCTCCTTCTGACAATAAAACTAATGGGGAAGCCAGATTCACTTAACAACTGTGTTACTAACTTAACCATTGTAATGTTTCACTTAACAATTGTGGCAAGAAAGATCATAAAATGGGGCAAAACTTGCTTAACCTGTCTCGCTTAGCAACATAAATTTTGGGCTCAATTGAGATCATACATTGAGTACTACCTGTATATTCTCTTCTATATATTCCTGTTCATAGAGCTAGTGCCATCCTATCCTTTCACAGCTTTCTTTCTTATGACAAATTTAGCAAGCTCTAATTTTTTTCAGGGGCGGTTCTGAAGTACAAACTGCTAACAAGATAGTCAAGCATAATTTCTTGGGAACTTTTTGAACTTTAAAGGCAAACTATGTGCTTTCTAACAGTCTGGCCATTTAAAATAAATAAATAAATAAAGTCAACTATACTTCCTGTTGTTGGAAAAGGTAAAGTGGAACAGGAAAGGCCAATGCAACCAATTAAGCCATACTGATTTACTCTTTTCAGGATCTTCAGAAGAATGTTAAGTCCACATCTTTAAACTCATAAATATTTAGATGAAAAAGGCTTATCATCTTAAACTGGAAAAAAAGTAAAAATTAGTAGGCTGGCATAGGCAACATTGGGGAATGCACAATGTGAAAAAACAATTCAAACTTGTTCTTTTTCCTGCACATGTTAGCTGGCTTATACAAGAAAAGAGGGAGTAACTTGAGATAAATGAGTAAATCTGTACCACTCCTCTGCAAGTATGTACACTCTATGCACAAACTATTTGGGGCGATCTGTGTTCAGAACTAAAAAATAACAGTTCTGAACAGAACTGTTTCTGCAGTAATGGTAGGCCAAGGTAGCAAAGGCCACATGGAAAGGTAGGAAGAAATGAATGAAATGGGAATGGAAGAGGTCAGGAAAGCTGTTGGAAAGATGGCCAACTGGATTGGTGTATTGGTCTTGCAGAGAAGTAGACAAAGAAGGACAATAGCAGGGGTGAAATTCAACCACCTCGCCCGGGCTCGGGAGAGGTGATAGGGATGATTTGAATAGGTAAAAAAATCGCTCCTGGTTGCTATTGCTATTATACCAAGCCACACCCACAGAGCTGGAAGGGAAAAATTTTGAATTTCACCCCTGGACAGTAGCAATGAATAAAAGAAAGTAGGGAAGGTAAGTTGGTGGTCAGACTGCTGGGCAGACCAGCAAAAAGGCCCTGCAGAACAGTGGTGGAATTCAATTTTTTTTACTACTGGTTCTGTGGGCGTGGCTTGGTGGGCATGGCAGGGGAAGGATACTGTAAAATCTCCAGTCAGAGGTGGGATTTGCCGGTTCCCCAAACTACTCAAAATTTCTGCTACCATTCTCCAGAACTGGTCAGAACCTGCTGAATACCACCTCTGCTGCAGAAGGAGAAAATAGGTAAGGTTCGGAAAGCTAAGGATAATTAGGAAAAATAAAATTTTCTTGTCACATTAAAATATAGTTTTCATTCTCATACATGAACTTCAGTATTCAAGGTGGATGGGAGGAATATTTAAAAGTTCAAAAATGGAAAGGTGTCTTTTTCTTCCTTTTCTTTCCTTAAAAACTAGCCTTCATATTGAAAAGACTGAGATCTTTTAGTTTATTGCAGCATATCATTGAATATGTATGTATGAATCTTTCTGAACCCATTGCAACAGAATAACAGAATAACTGTTGCAAAGATGTTTTTTTCCATGTGTGCGTGTTTTTTTCCTGAGGGATAATACCATTCATTTTCAGAAATACATAACTGGAAAAAGAAGTAGGAATGGCATTGCTTTACTTTAATTTTAATTAGTTTGTGTTTCATTCAAAGGACACTAAACAACACATTATTGAAATTATGAAGAAAGTACATGAGTCTCCCAGCATTTTCTCCCTAATATCCTCAGCTGCATAAGTAAAATGAAGACAAGATAATACAATTAAAAAGAAACCTAACAGTGTCCCCACTTATGGTCTGTTTTTTTAAATTTAAATTTAGTTAGATGTTTATTCTTGTTTATTACAGCCATATTTTTATAGAGCACTAGAATTTTTCTTAACACATCCCCTTTATCTTACATATATCATCTATGAAATCTATAGTGATTTCTTGGGGCCTAGGCACCTATTCCTATGCCTAATTTATTAAACTTAAGAGATTTTTTTCTTTGAGCTAATATTGTGAACTTTTTTGTGACTCAGCTATTTAAGTCTATTCATATAGCAAGTAAAAGATAATATAATCTACATGAATATTTGTGTTGTTAATCTATAAAATCTTCACATAATTCTTAGGATATTCAAAGATTGCACCAGTTTATCCTAGATTTACAGACAAAACCTAGCCAACAAACCTCGCCAAAAGATTGCAAAAGGTGACTCCAGAACACTTAATCCGTCATAAATATATGCCAGTTACCAACTGTTTGAATATTGATCATGGGACCACAATAGTCATAAGTGAGGAAAACAGTCATAAGTCATTTTTTTCAGTGCCATTGTAACATTAAATGGTCACTAAACAAATGGTTGTAAGTTAAGGACTATCTGTATAATTTTTCTTAAAACCATCGCAAGAAAGGATTTCAAAAGCAAATATTCTTCTTACCTCAGGAGTTCTTCCAGCTTCCGTATCTTCTTATGTGAGTCTATTCTCTCTTTATCGAAATCACTCTGAATTCCATAAATCTAATTTTGAAGGGGGGGAAAGGCAGAGTTAATTCTAGAAACCATGTGACAAGTAACATATCCACTATCGTTCAGACTTGGGACTACTGAGATTAGCTCTGTAACTACAATCTCTGCAGGGCTTGACTTCAGAGTTTGGAAACTTAAACTAATAAAGAAGGCTACAGACTAAGCATTAACACGTATATATCAATGCAATCACATATTGTAATTATCTGTCAGAAATACTCTGGTACATTCTACGCTGAGCAGGGTCTGGACTATATAGCTTCTAAAACCCCTTCCTACTACAATTCCATGCTCTATGTCTTATTCAATATTGCAGGGTTTTATTATTGCAATGTTTTAATATTGCTGTTTAGTAGTGAATTATTTTTAAGTTTTGTTACACTGTGACTTTTGTTAAGACTTTTCAGTTACACAGAAAATAAATGACTTCTCTAAAGAACTGTTTTGAACTACAACTGAAGTCATGCTAATAATATTGCATGACTACATTGCTGTATCTAAAATCTTAAAATGTAATATGCTTGCATTGCAAATGGTATGGACTTGAAAGCTCTCTTTCTCTTTCTGTAACAGCTGTTTTCCATACTGACAAACCACGTCTACAGCTAAACGGTTGTCTTTTCACAACACAAAGCTACTATTGTCAAAAAATGTAATTATTATAATATTTGTGTGGGTATGTTACATCTTTGAATTGTGACTGTTGAAATGTGGACCGAAGATCTAACAAACCATAGCTGTTTTCAGAATAGTGTTCACATTACCTCTACAATCAATGTTGAATTATAATAATCACGAAAGACAGCTATGTTTGTCACATAGGAAACCAACAATAAAGTGTGGTTATTCTATCTTAGCTAGGTGTGTCTAATCTGCCTGGCAGCAACTTAAGAGTCCTCAAATTTGTAGCCCTACTAAATTCTTGTCACCTAACCAACTTTAGCTTTCAGAGGTAGATTATACTTCATGCAGTTCAGTTTAAAAAAAACAGTAATAGTATTTGTCAATATTTATGTTAAAGAAGTAAACATCTGAATTCTAAATAGCAAAGAAAATCTATGTACAATTATATTGGAGGTTCTGGTAGTGTGATTTAGCACCATTTACTTCCTATCTCTCCCCAATTTCAAATAAAATAAATTCAAAGAAACAAGTAAACAGTTTATTTCTAACGCATACCCTACCCAAGTAGGGTAATCTAATAAATCAAAACAACAAACTAAAAACCAACAGTTAAAATGATACATTGATAAGACAACTTATCAATGTGTCTAAAAGGCTTCACAATAGGGAGAATCACACATTCTCATTCATCTCAGGAAAAAAGCCATTGGTACCACTGGAATAGATGTGGTCTTTAAAGGATGCAGGACAGGATGCAACCCTGATCTGGACTGTCAAATCAGGAATTCAAGGGAAAGGGTGTGGGGGCAGGGGGAGGAATACAAAAACAGCACTTCGGTGGGCACCTACTGAACAAAGAAACACCGTGGAATACAGTGAGGCTAGTATAAATGAAAATAATAGCCACAGAGATGTGACTGAGACCAAGATAAAACACAGCCAGTGATGCTCATTGCCAGTAACCTTGTCAGTGATATCTGGTGATCAAGGATCTTAACTATTGCTGAACATGATTTTTAAAAATCTAAGATATAAAATTCATTTTTATCTGAACTTTACTGAAACATAGCTAAGTACTAATATATTTCTCAGGCAAAATATAAAGGTTCTGAAAATATCAGGTTCATTCTTGCTTGACATTTATTTTTAGAGCTTCTACATTCACCAATTTTATATTCCCCCTGTGCCCAATACTTCCATATTAGAGTTTATATGAGTAAACTTTTATGGCCTTTACATGATATTCCGTGTACACAAAAACAGTATATTTCTTGATTACCTTTTTGTCATGAATTCTCTCTAAATCAGCTTTTTCTTGTAGAAACATTTGCTCTTGTTCCTGAAAGTAGTTGAGTCAATAAAATTACTATTGTTCCTTTTTCATCATAAACTAAAATATAATCCAAGAAATAATCAATCTTATATTTCACTGGGAAGTTCAATAACTCAGAGCAGCTAATCAGTTAGAACAGATAAAAGATTTGCCAAGGAAAGGGATGGGGAATTGAGTTGAGAATCTCCTCAGTTCTAGTCTCATATAAAAACTATGTATATAACCTTTTGGTTGAAAGCATACAGAATCGCTCTTGGCCTTTTGGCTTTCCCCTTAAGCTTATTGGAAAGTTCTCCTTCTCCATCTTTCCTCATCTCTTCATTTCCTGAGGCAGTTTCTACCACCACCTCATTCCATGAGTCTCTATTGCCAATGCCTCCCCCCCTCTCCTGAGGTAATCAGGTGCTTTCTTTAAATGGTTCCACCCCTCCCCTGCCATATGCAGGCATACTAGCACAGTAAAGCATATATATGCAAGTTATGCAAAATGTGATATCTATCCAGTGCAGGTCTGCCTCAGCTGACCTGCACTGGAAGTGGTAATTGGAAAGTTCTGGACTAGGTCTGGGCTACTGATAGTATAGAATTCTATATGCCATCCAATACAGTCAGACAAAAGAATGCTGAAAGATGTAGGGCAAAAAATTTAAAAGACCCCTGCTATAAAGAATTAGAACAAAAGCCGAGAATGCTTACAATGTAGCACCAAGGCAACAGATTTATGCTAATGCACTAATTTATACAAATGTTAAGATAGACAGGATGATAATTTTCACTGAATGCTTTTTTATTCCACTGATAAGCACACTTTTCAAATCATTCCAAAAGAAAAAAGAAAAACAACTTTAAAGGCTGAAATAAGAAAGTATTCCATTATTTTTCCTCACAATATTGTCAAGGCCTCCAGCAACACTCACTCTCTCTCTCTCTCTCTCTCTCTCTCTCTCTCAAAAAAAGTGCTCATCATTCTGCTGAGTAAAAAAACAGGGCTCACCTGCAGTTGTTGCTGCCTTTGATGGTCCGATTCTAGTAACTGTTGTTTTAATTCAGACACACACTCCTTTAAGTCCTCTGTCACATCTGATGTCTATAAAGATTTAATGAAAATGGAAGTGTTTGTCTCCAATTCATTTGGGCAGAAATAGCTATACTTTTCAAAGTTATGCTTTAAAAGATAAAATGAATGAAATACTCTACTTGTCCAATCATTCTCAGAAGGCATGCTGAGAATCCTTCCTTTCTGGGGCATTTATGCAATCTGGACTGGACAGCAAGTACCAGCACTACACTTCCTCTGTAACAGCCAGTGTATTATGGAACAGTGTCTTATTATTTCACAAAACTACCACAGGCAGTCCTTGGATTATGACCACTTGGTCAGCAACAGTTCAAAGTTACAATGGCCCTGAACGTGGAGGTATTATCACAGATCTTCAGAGTTCCAGCCATCATAATGTCCTCAGTTATGTGATTGCGATCCAGGTGCTCCAAGTCTGACTCACAAAGTCACAACAGGCCACAATCACATGATCATGATTTCCAATACTCCCTCTCAGCTTCCACAAGTAAATAGGGAAGTCTGTAGGAAGTTGTAAGTCATAATTATGTGAGATCCTCATTTGACAAACTATGTGGCCCTTGTTTAATTATAGCAGGGCTATCAAATTCCTGGCCCATGGGCCAGATGCGTCATGCGCTGGCCATGCCCATGCCCAGTTTTGCGAAGAAGAAAGTCCTGATATGTCACGTGATGCCACTGTGACGTGAGTTTGACACCCCTGAATTACAGGTACTGAAACTGCTGGAATTGCGACATCATGTGACATCTTGTTTTTCAACCATGTAAACTAAGTTCCGGGTCCCACCAGTTGCTGTCATAATTTGAGGACTAACTCTAAGAGAAATTTTTCTTTATTTAAGGTTAAGGTTGCTTATCTATGAATTTATGGTTTTCTATACCTAAGTATTTATATAATTGAGGGAGGGGGACATGCTGGTTTTCCTTTGTTACTGTACTATATGTTGCCTACGGAGTTGTTGGATTAATTAACAAATATAATAAATACTTAACTGAAAGTCATGAAAGCTTTTAAATGCAAACCTTGTAATTTGATATAGCACTGGCTGGATATGTAATTTAGAGCTGCTATCCATTCAAACTACGAGAAGTCCTTCTATGCTAACCTACGAGATGCAGATAGGGCAGGAAAGATGCTTCCAAAAAAGAGGAGTTGAAGTGCACTAGGAGAGGGTGCCAGATGCAAGTAGTCCTCAATTTATGACCACAAATGAGCCCAAAATTGTCAGTGCTGAGCTAAGCAAGACAGTTAAGTGAGTTTGGCCCCATTTTACAACCTTTGTTGCCACAGTTATTAAGTGAATCACAGAGTTAAGTAACACTGTTGTTAAGTGAATCTAGCTTCCTTAATGACTTTGCTTGTCAGAAGGTTACAAAACATGATCACATGACCCCAGGAGACTTCAAGCATCATAAATACATGGCAGTTGCTAATTTTGATCACATGACCAGGGGGATGCTGCAACAGTAGAGTGAAAAATGGTCACAAGCACCTTTTTTTAGCGCTGGTATAAATGTGAATGGTCATTAAACAAATGGTTGTAAATCAAGAACTACCTCTATGCTCAAAGATATGTGCTTTAACGATATTCTTTGGCTGACCTATTAGGGGTATATATTCTTGGCCTCATATACTCCTGGTGTGCTTTAACTCAGAAAGGTGGCTGGAAGTGGATGATCAATTTAGTGAGAGTGGCAAGGATATCATTCCATACTGCATGGTAGAAAGCAATGTTAAGCCACTTCCACATTTTACTATGAAAACCAAACGGAGACGAGATAAAGTGACTGAGTGTCAGATGATGGGCCCCTTGGGTCCAATGCAACTTAATATGCTATTGAAGAATGTCTGAGGAGCTTTCAATACCTAGTGATGCTTTTGATGTAGCTAGATTAAAGCTTTTCAGACATTTAGTTGATGTTGCCATGCAGGCAAAGCTACAAAGACAGCACTGCAGTGGAAGCATGGAAGGTAGAAAGTATGAGTGCAAGAAAGTTCAACACAGTGAAATATAAAATAAATTGACATCTTATATGGCATCAGTGAATTGAAACAGAGTGGAACTGGACACTCTCAGTCAGAATATTAAAACAACATAAACAAAAAAATAAGGACACTGCTTTCATAATAGGAAGGATACAGTAAAGATAATACATTGTGGATACAAAGCAGTCAATGATCAAACAATTTCAATCACAAATAATTTTTTCAGACAGGTCTCTAATATAATAGGTATTTTAAGTTTCAAATCAAATAATTTATCAAAATCAATAACCAGATCTAAATACAATTCAGAACATTATTTCAGTGAAAAAAGGGAGTGTGATAAAAGTAGCCAAACAATTTTCAGAAAACAGGAGAAAAAAGAGAGCAAAGGTAAGACCAGCAGATAAGAACTAGAATGTCAGACCATATTTAAAATATGTCAGGCAGCAGAAAGTCTGAGAAATGTTTAACTGTCAAGCATGAACAGAACTATACTGCTATGTAACAATTTAGTAGGGTAATAAAATACCAATATATTAAAACATTGATGTAATTAAAATGTGGTGATAAAATGCAAAAGGTGTAAAAGTAAAACAATTAAGTTCTACTTGAAATAATTTTAGTATGATTTTATTATTTATTTATCACATTTTATATGACCAATCTCACCTAAGTGACTGGGCATTTTACAATAAAAAATTAAATTTCAGAAACATAAACAAGAAAACAAACAAGAAAAAAGGAAATAAAAAAATGAATCAGACAAGCAGCATGATAAAAGTATGAAAAAAAGGGGGGACAACCCAAGAATGGCTTTTGACTTTTAGCATAGATAAAAAATAATCCCGCTTATTCCATAGCAAAGAATAGTCTACGTTATTTCCATAATCCCACATAATTCTAATAATCAAATTCCAAAATCAAAATTATGTCTCTCTTAGTTCCTTGCAAAAGCCCAAAAGTGAAGTTCTACTTGGAATAATCTGAACATAATTGACGGTGCTTTGTAATGGTTTTCTATCATCATAATTTAAGGATGTATAAAAGTCTAAGAGGAAGTAAGTATAGTAATCATCTGTTGTCTCCAGCACTTGCAATAAAAAAAGAATTATAATGTTGTTTTGAATGTTTTGTAGAAGTGCCAATGGGAACACATTGCACCCAGCCATAAAAAAAATCCTTTCATCAACTAAAGATGAAATGAGAGTTTACTAGAGAAGTTTGATGGTTCCCAGGGACCTGTATCTAGTAGGACTCTAGTGCTTTGAGACTGTGAGTTGACTTCAGACAAATATTCAATACCAATATTCAATATCTTTGCAACATGGTTCCCTGCTGTGAAGACAAACAATGGGGGGTGGGTGGGGATTGCCCTCACCAAACAAACCCCCTCAATCTCTGCCTCAACTCTACCTTCTTCCTGCCTACTGCTGTTGCCCAGAGGTTGGAGGGACCAAGATGAAATGGTTGTACTGACAGAAACGAAGGTGTGGCAGAGATGGGAAACTGCCAGAGGTTGAAGTTGGCACAGAGAAATCAATCCAGTGTTGGAAGCCATGTACAGCTTGTTTCTATCTTGCCAGCCAGCACAAATCCCTGGACGCATATTGGGGGCAGCGGAAGCAGAGCCAAGCCAGAACCGTCATTTGCAGCACTGAGGGACATGGGCAGGACAAGGAACCAGTGGGAGGTGGAAAGCAGGCCTGGAGCCTAACCCAGTGTCTGTCAAAAGGGGCTGCAGGCCACAGCAGTGTGTGTGTGTGCTGAGAGAGGAAGACCAGAGGAGACATAGCCATAGGAATCAGCCTGGAGTCATATCTGGAGCCAGCCCAGAAGGGCAACAAGTGGAGGCTGGAAGCAAGAACTGGCCCAAAGCCCAGAGAATCAACAAGGGCATTGGCTGGGAAAATAAGCAGCACAGATAAGAATCTAGAGACTAGGGGGAGGAGTGCAAGGCCTAAAGACCAGAGATGGGTTTACTGACATCTTAAAGATGGGCCAGGTTTGTGGTGGCAGAACCCCCAATAATGCTGGAGGCCGGGGTTCATGGAGTCCAGAAGTTGGAAATAACTTGAATGGTGAGGCCAGACCTTCTGACCAAGAAATTGGCAGCAACAGGCTTTTTCTAGGATTGATAGAGAGAAACTGATCAGGGATTGGGGGAGTACAAGAGTCCAAGGACCCAAGGTGATAGTAGGTTAACTTCTAGGTTGAGAGCATAGGAATCACTTGATTGTTTACCTAGTGTATGTTTGGTACCCACTTGTCTGTATGCGAGAAAGCAGGGTGGGGGTATGAAAGTGGTCCCCTCCCAAGCTGACCAATGGGAGAGACCAACTTGTGGGGGCTACATTGAGTGTGGATTTGTGAAGATTGAGGACTCCCAGCAACATTTAGAGCTACAGCCAAAGTGCCAGAGGAGTATTCCTCCTGCTGCATAGCAACCTCCCTGTCTGAGCTGTCAGAGGCCATCTCAGGGTTGGCAATGAAGAGGGGGTTGTTCCCCTCAGAGACATGCCCAGTTGGGTTTAGGGTTTGGCCCCAGCTAGGGAAGAGAGTGTAGTACAGGAATCTCTTTTGACCACCAGGGGTCAGGCTTCTCAAGTTTCCAGATATAAGACACTGTTCTTGAAGCTTGTGGGATCAGTTGGGATTGTTGCTACTGTACCAGCCTCCCTGTTGCATAGCAACCTCCCTGTCTGAGCTGCTGGAGGCCATCTCAGGGTTTGCAGTGAAGGCCTACTTCATGGCAGTAAGTGCAGGGAAATGCCACTATTTGTCCATTCTTATTGCATACACAGAGTGCCACTCATTGGCCCTGTTTAAGGTCACCATAGGGAAGAAGAGCTCAATCAATCTTTACAGGGCCATGAGGAGGAATTTGTCCAGCACTTGATGAATACAATCACTCAAATGTGTTCTCCGTTGCAGACCAAGCACGGAGTTGGAGTCCATTAGTGATGCCGAGGAAACAGACTTACACAGTTATCTGGAACACTTATGATGCTGCTGTACCTGAGGAAATGGATAGGAACCTTGGGGCTGTTAGTGCAACTATTTGTTTATTAGATCCTAGACCCTCCTGCTTGGTGAAAGCTTTGTGGAGCATGAATTGCACATAGGCCCAGGCAGTAATTAATACATCGCTGAAGGAGAGGGCATTGCCTTGGTCTGTTCTTTCCTTAAGAAACCTTCACTAGATTCCCACCTGCCTGGACAACTTTCCATCCAGTCTCCCACCTTCCCTTTTAGGGAAGGTGGTGGGAAAAGTGGTTGCACTGCAGCTCCAGAGGGTCCTGGATGAAATGTATTATCTGGACTACTTCCAGTCAGGTTTCAGGCCCAGTTATGGAACAAATGGCATTGGTCACACTTGTAAATAATATCTGGTGGTAGCATGATGGAGGTAATGTAACCATCCTTGCTCTTCTTGACCTCTCAGTAGCTTTCAGATGAATAAAGTTAGTCATATTTATGACAGCATATGCAGGATTTAAATTTCAGAAATTAGCACTAAGAATCTTTTGTTTGATCCTTATTACAGTATTGTTAATAAATAAAACAATCCATCCACATCTACCTTCATTGCAGAAAGAGCATGTTCCTTCTTCATCAAATTTAGATCCACTGCATACTTGCTTTGTAACTGTTTAATGTTCTGTTTATGTTCTTCCATCATACGCCCTCTTTCTTTCTGAAGTGAATTATGCCTAAAAACATTTGATTACAAAGTGCAGGCATGTCATAGAAGACACAGAGGACCATTTTATCAAACTAATATTTATCTTTATGTTTTCACACTTAATATAATAATCATAACAACATTTGAACTGAATTTATAGATTAGTCTAGTCACTTACTGCTGATAAATCCTATTACAGAAGTAAATCAATACCATAATAAAAGTATATAAAATATGCTACATATAACAACATATACAGTACATTTAGTTCAAATTTTATTTATGAAACCATGATCTAGATGACATTATAAAACCACTAGAGAAAGTTTGTCTTTGTCTATATCAAAAATAAATAATTTAAACTAGGTTATCGTGGCATATTTAGTTCAGGTTCATTTCAGTTGTTTGTGAAATAAAACTTTCCCAATTATTATTTCTGATGTTACATGCCTTTTCATTTTTTCCCCAATAGAACATCACAGGAAATCTTCAGCAAGTAGTAGCTTTTCCATCTTCACCTCTAATTTCGATATTTTTAAAAATTGGAATCAGAAGACCTGATTTTTGTCTAAACTGTTTAATGTTTAATTAACATCGATTCATCTTATCAAAATGTAAACAAATGAGTTTACTATTTCACAGTAATGAACTGTAGAGCGAAGTAAAGAATGCCAGACCTTCACAAAAGTAAAAATGCAGATTTTATAACTTTTCACATGGTATAGAATTGTAATTCTACTATAATTCCACATTTACTCAATACCAATACTTAACAAATTGCAATAAAGAATATACCGCCATAATTTAAAGAAAAAGATCATTAACTACCTTGCCTTAATTTCTTCAAGTTCTAAAGATGCAGATTGGTAAGACTGTTCCAGATTATTTTTCTCTTGAGATAATTTCTGATGCTGCAAATGACTTGTTTCAGCTTCCACTGTCAACTGATGAACTCGGGCCTCCAGCTCTTTGACCATCTGGTTCTAAATAATGTGAAAAGCTATATTAGACTTACGTTCATGCACCTGTCAGATGCTATTCATATTCAGTACATTATCGACAGATGTCTCAGATAACTCAGAAAATACCGAGAGATCTCAAAACATAAAAGCAGTTTTTATTATTTAAGAAACATGATGAGCAAGTATACAGTTCCTATTTCATCATCAAGCCAAGTGACATCTATTTTCAAACATATGCAACATCAAGAAGGCACCTCATATTCCAGATGCTGCACTTCATTAACTATGAATCTGTATAAATTCCAAATAACTTTTAATATATACTTGAAATAAAGCCATTTGGCAATTATTGCATTAGCTGTATACATTTCAAAAGGGATGACAGACTTCAAAATAATGAATATTCTTCCATTTAAACAGAGTTTTTCTCCTTAATGCGCTGTATTTTTTTAAGTAAAATAATGTAGAAAGTAAGAGATAAAGAAAATCAGACTTGTACTACATCTACCATACCCAGTAGGGATGGTTGGCTAATAGGGTCTGCTGAGCTTTGGATATGAATCTACAGTACAGACTATTTTGGAATAGGCATCCATTTGGTGCCTTGTCAGTAGCACTTTAAAGAAGCTGGTTCTTCCTGGACTATCACAGCAGCTGTACAACATCAGTTCAAGATTTATTTATTTATCAGACTTATATGACGAACTATCTCACAGAAGCAACTCTGAGTAGTGCACAAAAATCAATAAAAACAACAAATATATATAAATGATCATAAAAATATAAAATCATAAAAATGAAAAGACATTATAAAAATAATGCTGATAAGCTAAATTAAATTCGTAAGATGCTTTAGAGTGGGTCTGTTATGATGTTAGCGCCATTTGAATTCAAATACATATTTGGGAGGGATCACATGGCTATCATGCAAAACTAGGAAAAGATATAATTTATTTACGAATGTCCTAGCAAGCACAGCATACTGCCCTGCACCCATTTTGAAATATGTTTGACTTTAGAACCAAAGATCATCACATCTCTGCTTGCTAGTTCCAGCAAGGCATTAGTGGCAGAATAACCATGATTAAAAGTAACCATTCCTGAGTATACCTTCAGAAAGCATGTTCTCTAGCTCTATGGCCCCCAACCTTTTGGGCACTAGGATTCTGAAGAGAAAGGTTTTTCCACGGATCGGAGGGGCATGATTTTGCATGCTGCTTACATCCTGTGGATGGGGCTTCACTTGTTTGTGTGGACCTGTTGCTAGCATTCCGCAGACTGGTGCCAGTCCATGGACCACAGGTTGGGGACCCCCTCTCTAGCTGACTGTCCCCCAAGTCAGCATTTGAAGTTTAATGGCTTGAGGTAAGAAGCGAAGCAAAAATAAAACTAAGTTGTTGCAGACAGAAAGTACTTGGCCAATGAAGCATTCATATCTACCCAGGAAGATACCACTTTGACTTTTGATGGGAGCGTTCAAGAATTCCAGTGAATGATCAAAATGCAAAACTTGAGCTTCCAGCATGGTCATGCTTACTGGAAAGGGGAAAAGAGTAGAACTAAAGCTTAAACAAATTCAGATGTCTATTTTTTACCCTACTAATTATATAAATGCCTTTAAAGGTATAGCCCTCAACCAATTGGGATAGCCGTTAAAAACAGGTACACCAGGAAACCTCATCTGTCTATAGATAATATAAAAACTGTACGGTTCAAAACTGGAAGAGGAATTTCTATCACTTGTTTTATTTAACTTATTTGCAGATTGTACCATGAAAAACGCTGGACTATAGAAAATAAATAGAAATCAAAATTAAAATTACTAAGAGAAAATCTCAGATGCTGATTATGTCACTTTGATAGCTGTAGTCAAGGAAGATTTGACAATGAAAAAAGAATGAAAAACCCAACCTTCTGCTTTTTTAAAAAAAAACAAAACCTAAGGTATAGAAATTTAGAAAACTGACAGCAGAAAAATATCAATAGACAATATCAATCCAACGTGAACCAGCTCAAAACTCACAAAGATGGTGACTAAAACCACGAATTAAGTAAATGTCTGATGCTTAGGAGAAACACTATGGAAAATCTAAACAAGATATTAAGTGTAGACACAAAAGTACATATTGTCAATTATAACTTACAGCTGTGAAAACAGGACTATCAGAAAAGCTGACCAAAGAAAAGTGATGCCTTTGAATTGTGGTGCTTGAGAAAGTTGTTGTGAATACCTTGGACCCCAAGAAAAATAAATCATTTAACATCAGATGAAGTAAAACCAGACTGGAAGTATTAATGATAAATCTAAAGCATAAATATTTCAGAAACATAATGCAAAAAAAAGTCAGTGAAGAAAACCTTGATCCTTCAAAAATCAAAGATAAGGCAATTGGAAAAGAAGAAGCAGACAGCACAATGGCTATTTATCATCTCTACTGATATAAGCATGACCTTACAAAAACTCAAAGAGGCATCTACTGAGAGACAATTCTGATTAAATGATATCCATCAGATCATAGGTCAGAGTGAACCAAATGAGAATGATTAGATTAAATATATAGTTCTACAGTTAGAAAACTGTAGCAAACAAGGAATGAATAGACTGGAGATTGTGAAACCATGTATTTGGCTATTGACAAACATGCCAAATACTTCACAGATTTTTAATAAAATAAGTTACCAAAAATGTGGGTTTAATTAAGGCCACACTTATTGACAGCAGACAGCCTACATATTTTGGACAAATACATATGTTTAGAGTTTGGAGATTTCTTTTCCCTTGTTACAGTAGTTTGCCTGGGCAGGCAAACAAGAACTATAGTTTGATCTTCCACAAAACCCCAGATGCTGGATTTCTCTCCCAATTTGTTAAAGAAATACATTGCATAGAGAAAACATTTGAATGCTATAGCACATCTAAGATAAAGGTCAAAACGATACTATTGATATTTCATTTATTTGTTTATTTAATAAGGTTATATTGACATTTCATTTATTTGTTTATTTCATTTTTATGCTGCCCATCTCCCCTCTCTGGTGACTCCAGGAAAATATGCTAATATAAGAAAACAAGCTTCTGTGGAAGAAAAAAAGAGCATTAGCAACAGGAAAAAAATATTCTTACTAAGAGAAAATCTAGCTCAAATAACCTTAAAGTGAAGAAGCTGGCTGATAATATAACTTAAAGCATATGCAGGTTGTGCTTTTTCTAACAGTGTACTGATACATTGGAATGCTACTTGTTATTTACTGGGGGTCAACAATTTTGTGAACTTGGTGATGGGTTGTGGAGTCTTAATTTCTTCAGATGCAAACTGCCAAAGTGGTAGTGATAGACAGAAATCAAGAACAGGTGGTTTTTTTTTCCCCCTTTTAATTTCTCTTCAACTCTAGTTACTTTTTTCCAAGGAAATATTCAAAATGATGAACTGGAGAAGGGGTGATCCTGGGAGTTGTGTATAGAAAATCACACACTCAGGAATGTAAAAAAATTGGTAAATGTGTACGGTCCAATATCACAGCCTAACAGGACTCACTATTTCCCTGCTGCTACCTGCCTCAATGCCTATCTAGTCCGTCCATCTCCCAGTCCTCCTCCATCCATGCTGCCTGCTGTCCTTCCAAAAAGAAGGGGATGGGGAAAACATGAGGGAGAAGCTGTTTTTGAGGGGGAGAATACTGGTAGTGCCCTCTAACAAAAATGTAGGAAAAATGAGAATCCTACAGTTAGAAAAAAAATTTCAAGAAACCTTTTCGTCCTCCTTCTGGCAATCTGAGATTAAAATCAACTTGCAGGCAATAAGAATCTATGTATAAATATATTTTGTGTTCTTTCTACTACATAGAAGGGAACTCTGTTTCTGTGTGTGCCTGTAAGAAAGAGTGCCAGTCTCTAACCTTGAGCTAACAGAGGTTAGTCCACTCCCATAAGCACAAGAAGGGAAGAGTACCTCTCATATTTTCAAAATTAGATTTAAATTATTTCAATGTTACTGTTTATGGTTTAAATCAGTGGTCGCCAACCAGTGGGCCGTGGACCACTGGTGGTCCCTGAGAAAATTTTGGTGGTCCACAGAGAAATGTCACCCCCAAAGCGCCCCTCCAAAGCAATTAATCCAGGCTGTGCGGGAACACAAGGCTGTGCCGGCCACATGGCCCGCGGGAACACAAGGCTTGTGTCGCTTGCATTGCAAACAACACGAGGTAGTGAGGGGGGGGAAGGGCAGAGGAGGGAAACTTGGCCCAATCGCCCCACGCATCTGGCCTGGCCACCGGGCTGCTTCTTTCTTCTTCTGCTTTTGGTTGCATGCAAGGAAAGCAGTCTTTCTTTCTCTCCTCCAAACTCCACCAGAAATGAGTCTTTGAGACCCTACGAGGCCTTCTGCTCCAAGAGGCTGCACCAGTGCGAAAAGTCTCACAAAGACTCATTTCTGGCAGAATTTGGGGGAAAGAAAGACTTCTCCTGCTTCTGCTGCTTTCCTTGCATGAAGCCCAAAGTCTCTCTCCCCCCCCCCCGAGAACGGAGCTGGAGACGGTATCCTGCAAACCCAAATAAAGAATGATTGATCGGTAGGAAAACAGAGTGGGGAATTTTCCTGCAGACTTTTTGGGGGATTTTCCCAGAGTCTCTGGTCCACGGGATTTAAAATTATGAGTTTGGTGGTCCCTGAGGTCCAAAAGGTTGGTGACCACTGGTTTACATAATTTTATTGGTTTTTAATAGCTGTAAGCCACTAGAGTCGCATCCAGGCGAGATGGGGGGCATATATATTGAATGAATAAAAAGATCCCAATGGTGAAGATGAAGGACTAGTGAGATTGGCTCAGGTTATTTCATTAATTCTCATCTTTCTTAATAGGCAGGACAATCAAAAGCCTGTATAAACACATGTGCAGTAAAGAAATGTATGGTCATTTTTGAGATACTTAATATTATTATTTTATTAATATATCTGCATGTATTTAGAATGGAACCCCAGAAACAATGAAAAGGCAATTATATGGGAAAAACAGAATAAAAG